TCCACTTAAAATTATTGACACAAGCAGCTAATAACCATTTTTTGGTTTCTGCCTAACCTTGTAAGAAGTCTCTGTTAAAGCCAATTCTCTGGGTGGTGCAGTGAATGGTAGTTCTTTTTCTTTCTATGCCAGCACATACACTTTCTCTATTCTTGGCACGTAGGAGGTATGCATTCACATAATTGGAAAAATCTGGATTTCTGATGCCAAAGGGTTAAAAGCCTCTTGGATTTCTTTGCAGTGATATGCGGCCACTATTTTATTTTTGATCGGTGGCATTTTGGCCACTAATTAGTGTACTGAACGTTACTGTCAGTACTAGGGTTTTTGTTTCTGGTTTTTTTTTTTTTTTTTTTTGGCTCTTTCTTTTTCTGCACATGTGAATTTTGTTTTGTATAAAACAAAATGATGTTCTCTTGGTCTCTGATGATGGGTTTAAAATTAAAGGAGCATCCAGTTTTGGTGTGGGGTGACCCAGGACCATGTTGTGACTGATGTATATTAGTTATTTGGACATTTTTTTTTGGATCTTTGCGACGAGTTTTATATAATTAATTTAAATTTGTTACAGGTTTTCATGTTCAGGCTAAACAATTTTTCAACCTTGGGTGAAAATACTTGCAACAGTTTTAAGGTGACTGTATTTTACCTTAGGACAACTGTTGCATGCCAATGTGTGTGTGTGTGAAACACTTCAAAATTGAGTTAAAAGATGTAAATTATTTGCTCCGAGGCATGTGGGATCTTCCTGGACCAGGGCTCTAACCCGTGTCCCCTGCATTGGCAGGCAGATTCTTAACCACTGCACCACCAGGGAAGTCCCATTTACCTAAATTTAAGATGTACGGTTTGGCTGAGCAATTTCTAGAAATGTGTCCTAAGACACAGTCGCACAGGTAAGCAAAGATACATGCACAGAGAGCTTTTTTCAGGATTTTTGGCAATCCTGAAAAAAACCTGAAGACAGCAAAGTAATTGGAAAGTGCGCAATCCTGACAGATCCATTCATTGTGATTGAGTGCTGTTCAATCACAGAAGAATCCAGCCCGCTGAGGTACTGATGTGAGCAGTTCTGAGAAATATTGAACTGGTGGCACTCGAGTAGGAGCAAGAGGCTCAACAGTAGGTGCCGTACAGTCCAATTTCTGCGGAAAAGATGTATGAGAAACTCTTACAAGTGGCACCTATGCTGAGGGGGTCACTGGGGGCTCGGGCAGGATGACGTGGACTTTTTACCTCCTACCCTCTGCATGATGGAAGCTTCCTTAGTAGGGATGAGTTACAGACACAGCGTTCCTCTCCTCAAATCTCTAGCACATCTGCAACAGCGCTGTGACACTGACATTACTTCACAAGACTGTCCCAAGCACGCACACGCTCCTGCTGCATGTCTTTGCTCACACTTGCACGCCCATCTTCCTTGCACACCTAAATCTTGTCCTCTCTCCTAGGACCTGCTCCAAGGCCAACAATTCCACGAGGCCTTTCCAAACTCCTCAGAATAACACTGCTCTCTTCCTTCTCAGCACTCCCATGGCACTTAAACTGCGACACGCAGGTTTTTTGGTCTTGTTTTTTTTTTTTTTTCCCCCAACACGGTTTGCAATTATTCAATTATTTATTGATAAACGAATTAATTTTGCTGAATTTAATTTGCAATAGTTTTGCCTTTAATTTGCTAATTTATTTTTTCCAAGTTTTTATTCTCTATTTTCACCAATTTTTAAGCATATTAAGTGAAAGCATGCTTAACTTTATTTTGTTCTCCCCACCCGCATTTTAGTCAATGTGAGGCATAGCATTCGTTAAATACTGTTAAATCAATTATACGTGATAGTTCCCACAATATCCACGTATTATTTAAAAAAAAAAAAAGGAGATCCTTGTCATTTATGATCCTAGTTCCTAGGTCATATAGCCCACATTATATTTTCTTCACTTAAAGATGTGCAGATGGTATGAAACCCACTTTTTATATTTTTATTTTTACTTATTTATTTATTTTTGGCTGCGCCCCGTGGCATGCGGGATCTCAGTTCCTTGACCAGGGATCAAACCCACGCCCCCCGCACTGGAAGCGTGGAGTCTTAACCACTGGACCGCCAGGGAAGTCCCTAACACCCAGTTTTTAGAGTAAATTCACATTTTGTACATCTGAAATCTCCCGCTCAAGGGAATCCTAAAAAGTTGCCATCTGACTTAATTCACAATTCTGATAGTAGCAGAACACTTACTTAAATAAGCTAACAGTTTTGTACCTATTACTCCTCATATAGAAAAACAAAAACTAGAAAACAACCTAGGCTTTTAAAACATTTCAGTAACATGAACATAACAATATTAAATCCTCATTAAAGAAAAGAAATAAATATAACATTGTAATATCAATCGATTTTATCCAGTGTAAGAAAAATTTTCAGCTTTATTTTGGTAAAACATTTCAGATTCCCTCAGATCACAGCATACCAATAAGCAAAATGTACACATACTGATTTTATACTACACGTCAAGTCCCGAATTCCCAATCCCAGGAAAGCAAGTTGCAAAGTACAAGCGCTGATGACAATGATAGGTAGTGTTTTAAACAAAAAATAAGTGAGTTTTCAGCACTTAAAGTGAAATGAGGCTTTCATCAAAAACAGACTTAATACCACAGGGCATCTTTCTTCAACACTAATTAATTCAATCAAGTCTGATTTCAAGCTCAAGTGACAGTGTTATCTTCAAAGCAACCGAGACAAGGCAATCAACACTTAAGTAGTATAATACCGTTTGTACTGTATTTTTGGGCAATCTCTGACCGCATTCCATTTTCAGACCTTATTTTGGTGTCTAACTAACAAGAACTAGAAAGAAGAGCTCTGACTCCACTTGGAGGAAATGCAACGAAATTGCTCTGTCCTGGCACAAAGGCACGTTGCAACATCGATGGTCTTTAACCAACTTCCCACACGAACTGATTCACCAACAGCTTAATTCCTCCAGCTACAACTTTGATTAAGGAACACAACTTTTAACAGAAGAAAATTCTGTACTTCCAGTTTTAAAAAGCAGACAGTTCTGTGAAAAGGCTATCATTTAAATAGCATCTGAGAGCATACGCACTGATGTTTTTTTTTTTGTTTTTTTTGTTTTTTTTTTGCTGTATGCGGGCCTCTCACTGTCGTGGCCTCTCCCGTCGTGGAGCACTAGCTCCGGACGCACAGCCCCAGCAGTCATGGCTCAAGGGCCCAGCCGCTCCGCGGCACGTGGGATCCTCCTGGACCAGGGCATGAACCTGCGTCCCCTGCATCGGCAGGCAGACTCCCAACCACTGCGCCACCAGGGAAGCCCCGCACTGAGGTTTTTAACACTTCAGGCCGTAAGAGAAGTTTTGATTTCAGAAGTATCATTTCATGGACCCAGCATCAAATATTGACACAATACATGTTTCATACAATATAATTTTGGGAACTTTAAGTGGCACAAAATAATCATAAAGTTTTTATCAAATTCAAGTTTCCAGTGATCTTAAAAGGCAGATTATGACTTTTTGTTCAACTGAGATATCCAGTTATGGTTATTATCTAGCAAATGCTAAAGTTATGTGAAAAAAATGTCAAAGAAAATCTTTAACTTTGATAATTTTCAACCTTTTAGATATGCCTAGCTAAATATAAAATAAGAGGCTCGTCTGGCATATGAGTAATTAAGTCAAGGAGCTTTACAACCCTAACCTGCTATTAGAAGCTATTTAAGGTTTTACATAATTCCCACAGTCTTAATACCACTATTTTCCTTCAGATAAAAGAAACGACCTTTTGAAGTCATCGGCATTAGAAATGACACTTAGGGACAAGAATCACAACCAGAGTTAGGGGAAAAATGGGTCTTAGCAGTTTCTCTCCAAGTATGAGGAAGGCCAGATAATCAATATACAATGGATGCAAGTTTAGAAACCTAGGGAAGCTCAAACTTCTTTAGTTATTTTTGTTTACTAAACAATCTGAAGTAAGCATTATATTCAGTTTGAAAAACAAATAAAATTTAAAAATAAAACAAGAAAAATGCAGCCTGGAGCATTTTAGGAGTCACCAAAGGTTTTTCCCCTCCTTCCTTTGGGCACACTGTCTTACTTTTCTGTGAGACGAAAAAACACTTACCCTTAGCCACGAAAAGCTATCCACTTAGCCACGAAAAAACAAAAACAAATCTCTGCTCACAGCAGTCATACTTAAGAACACCGTGGGGTCTGCATAGGATTTTCCCTAATTTCCCACCCACCCAGACCCTGAAATCTGAAAACGTTTCTTCCACTTGCATGAATTCTGAGCCACTATGTGTAACCCACACCAAAAGCGCTGTCAGGTTCTTCAATGTGTCTTGTTTTTTATTTTTTTTAATATGATAAAAGGGAACTTCAGACAACTCAGAAATATGTTTAAAAAAATTTGATGATAGTTCTTAAGATTTTCAAGTAAATGCTCCCAAATCAAGTGTTATCAAGCTGCTAACTGGCAGCTAAAAATGCTGAATCATTTAAATTACGTTGGAACTGGGTTTATGACAGCTTCCTCTTGTGCTCTATAAGGACTGGAGTACTCAAGTCCACACACTAGCTACCTTCATGAAGGAATTCTTTTGATCAAAGTTTACCCTAAAACCAATTTCCTCAACTTTCTTTCCCCCAAATTGTTCAAACACATTTTAAGGTGTGTAAGTATAGGGCACAGGGTGTTTTATATGGCACAGTACCCTTTAAGAAACCTAACATTTTTGTGAACGGGGAGACATTCACAACATACTTAAACTCTGTATTTACAGAAACTGTTTATTGGCGCTGCATAATCTGCACTGTGAGAACATGTGTCATGAGTCAAAGGATAAGCTGAAATGCTATAGTGTGACGATATACGCATTAGAGAGCTGCATAATTTAAAAGGAAAGCATATTATATATTTTAATAATTCCAATGTTTTTGTCATATGGCCTTAATTTAACATTTTTTTTCTTTCTCCTTGTGATTTTGTACTTCTATCCGAGAGGGCATCTTTTATTTTTAAGACATGTTTGAGACTATAAAGAATATGCTACTGCAACTTAATATAAATAATCCATAAGCAATATACACGGATACACATAAACAGGTCCAGGCATCAGACCACTGACGTTGTACTTTCGGGATTCACACGCATCAGTCTCGATGCATTTCTCAGGTCCTGGAGTTGCTTGGCGGGTTTCCCCACACCCTCCTCAAACCTTTTCTCCACCACGGGGAGGACAGTTTCATACAGAAAGGATGCATTCTGCCTGATAAAAGCCTTCTTCTCTGGATCCTGCTCACATCGAAGACTGTAATCCACGTGCTGAACAGCAACCAAAATGATTTCCACCAGGCTCTCCAAAAGCACCATGTGCAGCTCCGGGAAATACAGCTTCAGTGCCTCTTCCAAGAAGCCCATGGTCTGTTTGGTGAAAGCAACCACCGTGTAACTGAGGTTCACCCAGCAGTCATCCCCCGTGTACTGCTCGAAGTTACCCACCCCACAGCTCTTCATCTCCTCTTTGAGTTTCCCCAGGGCCTCTGGAGTCATCAAGTTCATCCTCCTCCACATCTCCTCGGAGTTGCGATGCTTCGTGGCTTCGATGATGATTTCTTTGTAACTGTGCAGGGCCCCTTGGATGTCTTTCACCAGGAGGGCGTGGATGATGAAGGTGAGGTCTAGTCCGATGTCGCCCAGCTGCTGACAATGCTCCTTTGCCACTTTTACACACTCAGCCGCCGTGGAGAGGCTCTCCTTACTATCAAACACCTGCTTGCTAAAAGCATCCACAAACATGCCCATGGCTGACCTCGCCCAGACCACAAAGGCAGAGTAGCAGCCGCTGTCGGTGCCCGCAAAGTCCGTCTCAAATTCCCTGGCGGTCTCCAGAAGGCTGGTAAAGAAGACGTGGCAGAGCTTATGAATGTAGAGTAAAGTGGCACCTTCAATGCGAAGCTGGCGTATTGCAGTATGCACAGCTGCTGCCCTGTTTCTCAAAAACAGCTCGCAAGCCTTTGTGCACTGGCCAAGCCGGATTAGCTGAGAAACCGCCCGGCGGGTAGCCTTGGGACCACCTCTCAGGGACCGATCCGGGGAAAGTTCAAACACTAGCACCTCAGTGAGCTGGCGGACACGCTCATCCACTCTGGCCCTTAGTTCTTTCACAGGAGGTGGGCTGGGCTTATCTTCCAGGTAACGGTTCAATTTATCCAGCAGGTCGACGGCCCCTTCAAAGTCCCTCTGGGCAATACAGACATCCAGGTCTTCAGGCAATTCCTGGATCCATTCCACTGAGAGGTCCACCTTCTCTTCTTCTGCCTCGGGAACAGCTGGTTCGCCGTCGTCTTCGTCCTCAAACGGGTTGCCAGCCTTGGAAGTCACCTGGGGTGGCCCTCGAGGGGCAGCTGCCTCCTCCTGCCCCCTGCGTCTTTTTTCACTTAGGGCCCTCTTGGTTTCCTCCAGCACTTCCAGCCACTCTCGTTTGATTTTTGCGTTTTCCGCTTGAAAAATACGGCTCTCGGGAAACATGAGCAGTTTGAACATGTCCTTCATGGGCGGGTTGTCCTTGACATTGACCACGGCCAAACCATCCAGGGGATAGAGGGCGTTGTAGCGATACATCCCCCGCCGCTGTGGCAGCCAGGTGGCCACCAGCAAACAGTCGTTCATGAGAAAGCCGTGCACCCGCTGCAGCTGGGCCATGTGGTCCGCCTCGTATTCCACCAGGTCCCCGTTGTACACCAGGTACTGTCCCGGCGTCTCCAGCAGGTGCCTGCAGCCTTCCACCTTCTCAAGCAAGGTGGTGAGAGTGCGCTGCTTTCCTTCCTCGCCTGGCCCAGAACTGTCGCGGGAGGCGCCCCCGGGGCTGGGGAAAAAGCCAGCCTGGCCCCGGAGGTGGTCGCGGCCCCCCGCGCCGCCTCCCCCCTCCTCCCCTCCGGAGGCGGCGGCGGCCCCCGCGGCGGCGGCAGCCGGCAGCAGGGTAAGCGGGATGCTCTCCAGGCTGCTCTTCTGCTCGGTCAGCAGGTGGCTGAGCTGATACATCTCGCTCTCCAGGTAGGAGATCTCGCGGGCCGTCTCTATGAACTGCCGGTAGTTCTGGTAGACGTTGCGCTTCAGGTTCTGCGCCGTCTCCTCCGCCAGCGCCTGGATGCGCTGCCGGTGCTCCTGCAGGTCTCGGTCTCCGTCCGACTGCTGCGAGAGCTGCTTCACGTACAGCCGCGCCTCGAAGCCGCCCGACTCCAGCTGCCGCCGCAGGCGGCTCGCCCCGCTGTCTGACATCGCCATCGCCATTTCCGTCCGGACTCACGCAGTCCCTGTCACTATCGCCGTCGCCGGTGCCGCCGCTGTCGAGGCCCACCCAAGCCGGGTCCAACTCCAGGGCTGCGGAAGCAGGCTGGAAGAGAGACGAGTACGCCTGCGCCCGGGTATGAACTTCAGGCACTGCGCCTACGCAAGAGGCCGGGAGCAGGCGGTGCGCCTGCGCAGCAGCGCCAGCGGCCTAGGGCGCATGCGCCGGAGAAGCTATTGCGGAAGCGAGTGGAGGGCGGGGCAGAGGGACGTAGGTACTGCGCCAGAACTGAGCGTGACGTTGGTGTTTGACGTTACTCGCGAACCGTGAAGGCGGTAACCAGGTTTCTGAAACCTGCCTCCGGCTCAAGCCCTGGGAACCCAAGTTTTGAGCCCACTGGGAGGTGCTGTCATGGTAAGTTCTTTTTTTTTTTGAGCTCCAGAAGCTTGACTTCGGCGTCTGGGACAAGTTCCGTTCTCGTTCTCGAGGCAGTTTGTCTGAGTCTCGCGAGATCGGCGGGCTGACCCGCGGGCCGTTATCTCCTAGGAGGATCTCGACCCGGCCGTCCGAAGCTCCGGTACGTGGAGTCCCCCAGCAGCTATGGATGAGGACCTGGTTTTGGCGCTGCGGCTTCAGGAGGAGTGGAACTTGCAGGTCTCGGAGCGCGATCCGGCCCAGGAGCCCCTTTCTCTGGTGGACGCGTCCTGGGAGCTGGTGGACCCCACCCCCGATTTGCAGGCCCTGTTTATGCAGTTCAACGACCGTTTCTTCTGGGGCCATCTGGAGGCGGTCGAGGTGAAGTGGAGCATGCGAATGACGCTGTGAGTCCCGAGCCGCGCCGCGGGCGGGGGGCGCCGGCGGCCTCAGCCCGGGCTCTGGAGCTGGGGGCAGGCGGCCCCTCGGTCCTGTGTCCCTTCCCTGCCCTTCTCTGTCCTTCCCAGACAGCGTCAGGGGATCCTTGTGGCCCACCCCGCGGCGGTTTGGCTTGTAAGGGGACGTTCCTTGGCGTTAGAACGTTGAGCTGACCGTTTTCTGATGGGACTTACGGGAGCGCTTTAGGACCCAGGCGGGAGAAGCAGCCGGAAGCTGACCCCGAGAAAGGAGGCCGGGGCCGCGGCTTGCTTTCTTCCCCTGGACGCGTGCAGTCTCTGCCGGGCTCGACGGGTACCGCCGCTGGGCCGCGAGCTCGCGGGTCAGTGTGGGGAAGGGGCTGGCGTTTCCCTGCTTCTGGGTCCAGGGGATCTTCGGGGGGCGGGGCGCGGCGGGGTGCGTCTCAAAGCAGCCCTTTCCGGCACGCCGAGTCCGGGAAATGCCGGCTCCAGGTAACCTGCTCCTGCGTACGAACGGAGCTGAGAAGTTGACAGTGCGGTTCGAGGCCACCGCGCTTGCTCTTGGATGGAGGCGAAGCGCCCTGAAGTAAGAGATGAAGGTACGACACGGAAGTGTGTTTCCAGCGCTATGCTGCTGCGTATGTGGGTTTCCTCGATACTTCTGGACCTGGCCGTCACCGCCACCGACGACTGACCGACGGAAGGGTGTAGGGAGGGGGCAGGG